GGCTTAAAAAATTTGAGGTGAGGCGGGCCGGCCCTGTGGTGCACTAGAGAGTGCGCCGCTTGGGAGCATGGCGGCGCTCCCGCTGAGGGTTCGGATCCCATGTGGAGACCGGTTCCCGCTCACTGGCTGAGCGCGGTGCGGGCGCAACACCAAGGGTTGCGATCCCGTTGCCGGCCCCCGGTACGGGCGCGACACTGAGGGTTGCGATCCCGTTACCGGTCAGTAAAAAAGACAAAAAGGAAAAAAAAAAAATTTGAGGTGACTGTATGTACCTAGACTGTCAAATGATTCAGAGTCCCCTATATAACCACATAGCATCTTTTTTTTTTTTTTTTTAAAAGATGACCGGTAAGGGGATCTTAACCCTTGACTTGGTGGTGTCAGCACCACGCTCAGCCAGTGAGCCAACCGGCCATCCCTATATGGGATCCGAACCCGTGGCCTTGGTGCTATCAGCACCACACTCTCCCGAGTGAGCCACAGGCCGGCCCCACATAGCATCTTGATGTATGTCAGTAAACACCAGGGCACCTATGGGGAAAAGTACAAGTATGAGTCCATTTGTTATGGATTCAGGGACTAAAAGAGATCTACACTGTAAAGCCTCCCAAAATGCTAAGTATCATTAACTATAGCTCCTTATCACTTGACACTCTGAGCTAAGAGATATAAAATAGCCTATCCAGAACTGTGATGCATTAATGTAGGCTTACAGGTCCAGAACCCAGCATAAATCAAGCCAAAACCTTAAGAAATTAGAATGTGAAAAGGAATAATTTAAAATAGAAAATACATGCTTCTTTCTCTCCCTCCCAACCTTAAAACTTGACTGGTCCCCGATATTCTATTTGGTATATTGGACTTTGGTGTCTAGCAGATTCATCATATCTGAGGCCATAGTGAATAGGAGGAGAACTACAGGATGCTAGAGCAGCAGCTAAAGACAGGAGATAAATTTTGATTTCATGATCACCACTTAGGTGTCTGGTTTCTTGCATTTGCTGAAGGTAAAAATGGCTATTTGCTATATTTTCTATCATATTTCTTAACCAAACTTCCCTAATTTCTGAGGACAAAAATCACAAGGGCAACCCTGTTCTTCCACAGCAGTTTCCTGGTGCTACTTTCAGGAACAATGTTGGATTGTGAGTCTGATCAGTGTGGTACTGAGCATATACATTTTTGTACACTAAATAAGCCAAAAGGTGAGCAGTATCCCAGTTTTCTGCTTTACTTAACTAATACAATTTGGTGCTGGAAGGGAGGTAGCCACTTAACCGTGATAACGTTTATTGGTATCTTCTTAGGATCTCCCCCTTCACCCCACAGGGCAGTTTATAAAAGGTGATTTTTGAAACCTTTCACAAAAGAAAAGCTCAAGGGTTTACATTCAGCTGTGACACCACTATGAATTCATTAAGAAGCATGTTTCAGGTTGCACTATAATTTGCCTATGTAACATAAACCCATGGAATCTGACATAAGCTGATTGCTCATGCTGGTTATTTTATTTACATTTCTGAATAGAAGGGATTTCAATACTCATAAAATATCTAACTGACTTATTATTTTTCAACTGTTCTCCCAGAGCAGCTATTATAAAATAGGCATAGAGACAGAGGTCTCAACTTGTATGCCTAGTTAAGCAACGAGGGAAAAGTTATTGCTCAAAAAGCAATTTAAAAAATTTAATATGGAGCTTGAGGCCAAACAAAAGATACAGTTACTCTAAATGCCATCTGAAAGATAAAAGTTAAAAACAAACAAACAAACAAACAAACAAACAAAAAACGTTAAGCAACTGTGTTCATTATCTTCATCCAAGTCCTATGGGAGTATGTAGTAGCTTTGCAGCAATGCTAGCACGGCTGGAGTTTGCTTAAGTCTTTCTCTGGAGACCTAATGTTAGAAGACACAGTTGCTAGTAGTATAAGCAGGAACACAGGTGAATGGATGAGAGTGGGCTCCCTACCACCCAGAAATATGAATGTGCCTCCTTACCAACATGCTACAAATTAGACTTCTGAATTAGGAGATTCCATTATGCACCTAATTCAGTATGTGGAGATGTATATTCTGTTAACCTACTCAAAGAAAAATAATTTCTGCTTATTCCAGTAGGTGTGGCAAACTCAAACGGATTGCTAGAGAAATAACAGCCACCAGTAAATTCCAAAGCCTAATCCTTTGTCTTCTGCCTCCATGTCATTGTTCAAATTGTCTTACTTCCTTTCTTCTGCTGCAACACTGAATTAAATCAGTATATTCTTCAACCTTCTAGTACAACCCTGGTCCTACTCTTCTACTCCATATACTTTCATCATTTTATCATATTTATTGATTACATGCCTAATTTGTATAACCTCCTCAAGGACAGGTCTGTGCCTATTCTAAAATATGTATTCCAAGGTCAATCCCCAGTGATTCAGTTAGTACATATTACCTGACTGAGACAGCCCAACAAAGATAGGAAATATTTTTCAGTTACCTAGAGAGAAAGTAATCTTGGTGGTTCCCCCTGTAAAGAGGTAGAATTGTCAAGGATTCAGAATTGATCAGCAAAACTCAGTTTGGAAGAGAGAGCAAAGAAACTTATTTTAGTACCTTAGCCCAACATCCTTCTATTTAGTTTTCAAATTTACATGATATGTGCCTATTTTCAGAACCAGTGACTATAGGATGCAGCTTTGACATTAACAAGTGAGCTCTGGGAAATTCTGGATGGCTCTTTCCTGCTCTATCTCACACGTCCAGAGTCAAGTAATGTTGATCCTAACCCTTAGTATACATTCTACTTCACAATGACATCATACTATTTCATTTTCAAAACCAGGATGGCCCTTAGTCCTTACTAGGAATGAGAGGATATAAAAGAGGATGATGAAATGTATGAGTATGGAGGCTTTTGTCTTATGGCAGTTACTATGTGAACCTGAGGTGAGACATTTATTACTTAAATTTATAATTGCACAGCTCTTCATTTTTTGATAAATTCTAAACTATTCATATGGACATTATAATGAATACCACTATTCATAAGAACATGAACTTCGGGAGATGAAAGTCCTCCATGTTGCATATTTGAAAAAAAATAACATTAAGACACCTCTTTCTATATTTTCTTGTTCGACTTAAAGGAATCCTAACCAAATAAATCCTTCTGAAAAGAGGGATTCTCTGATTCCAGACTGACTTTTTAGGTCACTATTTTTATGGGAGGCACTTGAAAATAACTCATCAGTCACTTCCAGTCAAATGAATGAATGTGTGAAGATGAACTAATCTGTTGTGGTAGTAGCCTCTACCTTAATACTAATACAATTTCATACTTATCTCAACTCCCTACCACAAGACTATGAACTACTTGTAAACAGGGACTGTATTTTATACTTCATAAAGGTACCCAATAAATATTTGTTCTTTGAATGAATTAATTAACAAATAAATCCATTAGTATTAACGCCTTAATACAATGAATTCAAAACTCAAAGACCTATATAGTATGTTATAGAACAATCATTACCATATTATAGCATGTTATAGAACAATAGTTACAATATTTTTAAATGCTGAGGCTCTTTAAAACCTAAACTTTGAAAACAAGATAAGCTCTACTAGAGTCCTTCCATTCAATAAGTCAATACTGAAAGAAGACTCTTTTCAGGGTATCCAGGACTCTCTGAATTGCATGTTCTAGTGCAGTTTTTTGTGTTTTTGTTTTGTCTAGTGTTTTGTTTTGTTTTTCAAAGGTGGTATTACAATAGCTAAAATACACCAAGAGCAAATTAGTAAGAAAAGTTGTCACAGCCAGGGCTTAGTTAAATTAGAATCCCTGGACTCCCAATAAGGGCTAAACCCTCAAAGGGATCAGAGTCAAGTAAATAAAAAATCCAGCTGAATTTTATCAGAGGGCAAAGTTTCAACTTTGAGTACCCCAGCAACCAGAGATGAATTATGCATAAGATTAGTAAAGTGCCTTCATCCACACCCCAGCCAGAGAACATTTTTCTATCTCACTGTAACAGAAGGAAAAACAGCAATGTATTTGCCTGCCAAGAACAGCTGTGGCTGTACTCTAGATAGGAGTCTAACAACACTGAGGGATTAAAACTTAATTGTAAAGCTGCTGCTACCTGGGAGTAAAAGCTTGAACTCTGGCTTCAGAAAGAAATTGGGACTCTGGCACATTGAATAGATGAGAACAAGAGCTGGCATGTTCCTAACAAAGAGTGTGAGAATATGCTCCCTCCTTAAATTCTGCCTCAAACTGCTTCTTTCTTTGTGTGTCATATTGGTCATATGCAAGGATGCTTAATGGAAATACAGCCTTTTTCTTCTTTCTTTCCCTCCTCCCTTCCTCCCTTTTTAAAGAATTGAAGCCCTGAATAGAAGAAATAGCTCTTTTCTGTACTTTGAACAGTACACACAAGTTTTATTTCTAGAATGCTGGAAATTACAGGATGAAGTCAGAATTTTCTGAGTATCAGTTCTCGTAATTTTGTTGAGCGTCAAACGAAACCCAAATAACTTCTTTTCTTGAAGCCAGCTACTGTCAAGATGAGCCTAAGACAATATTATTTTTTTTACAGTATGAATACAATTTTATTTTTTCCTCAAATTCAGATAGAATAAAATTAAAACCCAATCTTTTGTTTTTCATGTCCGGCAACGGATCGCAACCCTCAGTGTCGCCCCCGTACCGGACCGGGACCGGCAACGGGATCGCAACCCTCGGCGTCACGCCCGCACCTCGCTCAGCCAGTGAGCGGGAACCGGTCTGTATGTGGGATCTGAACCCTCGGCGGGAGCGCCGCCGCGCTCTCAAGCGGCGCACTGTAGCAGTGCGCCACCGGGCCGGCCCCAAAACAATCTTTTATTGAGGCCTCATCAGCATTAAGGAACACACCCAAGTTTCCTACCTATTGATAAAACTACTAGAAGTACATCCACTACCTAAAATTCCCACTTTAGGAAAAAAAAAACCACAAAAATCCCACAAGTTATGGTATTTTAGATGAAACATTTATTCTTTTCAGTTAAACTTTCCTCTTTAATCCTCTGCAAACATACATTTATGCTTTATATTAAAACTTTTTTTTAACACAATTTTAGAGTCAATTAAATTCCCTCTGTATCCTTATAAACCAGGGCCTACTGTTTCTTTAGTATTACTGTACCTTTTAGGCAGTTAGAGAGGCTGAAGTCTATTAAAGACTTCAGTTATGTATGTGATGTAAATGGACAAACAGCAGTTCTTTAAGTGGCTAACTAGCAAGAAGAGAATAAAACTGGAGTGAACCAGTTTGAAAGACAGAAAAGCAAAGGTATATTCTTTATTTTAAAGCATCAGAGTCATCAAATAGGCTTATAGTGTGAAGAGCATGCAGCTTATTTGTCTCCTGGTGTCTTTGCCTTTGCAGTAAGCATTTCTCCAAGCTAAGTGCCCTTTCTATTTTTCTGACAATTTACATCAGCCTCTTCATTTAGAACTCTTCTCCAAATTCCACTCTTATAGGAAGGAAGACTTCTCTAGCAAAGCCACTTGACTATCACCACTCCATCATTCTATGTCCCCTTAGCACTACTGTATCTGGTTTGAAATTTATTTGTTTGTACTTGTTTTGGTATAAGTTTGAAGTGATATATTATTGAAACCAAAATATATATTATGACTAAAAGTAATAGGCTACCTTATTTACTATGTAATTTTAGGCATAATACTTAACTTTGATGATTCAAACTTCCCATCTATAAACGCTGGAAGATTACAATCTGTCCTCCAGTGGCTCCAGTTAAGAATAAATGGGAATATAAGTATCAACTCTTAAAAAAAGAACTAACTGAAGTCCCAGTTACTCTTGGTTTAGAATTGTAATTTATTAAGCAGTCTTACTAATTTAGTTCTTTTGAGATTTAGAAATTTGATTGGTAGGGGACAGGAGCAAAACTCCACTCAAGAAAAAAGCTAAAAACTATTCCTCAAGATTATAATTTTCTTCTGCATCCCATTATTCTCTCCATCTGGAGGACCTGCTGGCTCTGCAAAAGACAAAGATGTTTTCTAAGACAAGATCAGTAGGTTTCCTAATGTGAATTTTAATATCACTAGTATAATACTAGTATAATTTGAAATGAGAAAGTTAAATCAACACCTAAGCACAGCTCTTCTAAAAACTGCTAAGCAATCCATGTATCCCAAGTGCTAATGATTTATTGCTAATTAAGCAATAAATATGTTAGTAGCAGTTAGTAACAGGATGTCCTAAACAGTAGCACTGAGACTTTTCACAGTAGTGGGAGAAGAGACTTTTCTGAGGGGCAAAAGATGATTAGATATATTACCAAACAAATTCAGAGAGAATTTTTGAGGTTCATACTTGAAAGGCATATGTTAATAGGAAAAGGGTACTCTCCACAAAGTTCAAAACTGAATTAAGTCCTGGGGAAAGGATATAGACATGCATTAAAAAGTACATTGTCCTAACTTTTATTCTTTTTTTTTTTCCTTTTAAAAAGAAAAGTTCAGTACTTAGAAAATTTGTATAAGAAATAAAATTTGCAATTTTATAATTTTCTCAGTCTATTCTTTTTGGATAACAATAAGGATGAAGCATGAGAAATACCTTTATAGGAAATACCTTTATAGAAATATAAATACCTTTATAAAAAACATCTTTTCTCTTGCTACAAATATCTCAGTTAATAAAGAAAATCAACATTGGATATGCCAGACTATTCAAATAAAGATTTTAGAGGCACTAACAATGGAACAAAAATGAACACATTTAAAAATTTTGACCTATTACACAATAGGCTCATTTTATTATCTGTGTAGTCTCTGAGAAACAGCTCAGTTGTTTTACTGTGGGAATAGCATGGTTACAGGACAATATTTTAGGAGAATATAAGCTTAATTACAACTCAAAATGTTTTAAAAATTTTATCAGTTCTTAGGAACTAAAGAAGTCATAGCTTTGAAAACTAATCTATTTCAAAGTGAAGAAACTTTATTTTTTATTTATTTATTTTTAAATTTTATTTTGTCGATCAGTTTAATTTTTTGAATGTGGCCCTATGTATTTAATAAAGAGGCATACAACTATCACAGGCTTTTAGCATTAATGAATGAAATCAGATGGAGAATGTTAAAGATCTTTCACCTACGAACAGTTTTCATGTCACTGGTTATGACAATGGAAACCTAAGAACTTTTAAAAGCAATCATGTATTTTCCTACTGGTATATATCAATATGTAGTTATAATTATCTATCAACTCTGCTAGTTCTGAAGATGATCTCTGCCCTAGAAAAAATAATGAGAACAGTGCACAAACCTTCCCAAAAGTTTTGCTCAGTATTCAGTAAAAAATACTTGGCATTTATATCTGCTTATTATTTTTAAAAATGTAATTTGGGGAGAAAGATTTTAATTATTTTTGGGAAGGGGCTGAAGAAACCCCAATGAGACACTCTGTAGAGAGGTCCTTTGTTAGTGTAACATCTGACCTTCTATATCTTTAGAAATCATGCAACTTGGCTAATGCAGTCCTTAAAGAATTAATCAAGGGGCCGGCCCGGTGGCGCACTGCGCTAGTGCGCCGCTTGGGAAGCGCGGCAGCGCTCCCGTCGAGGGTTCGGATCCCACATACAGACCGGTTCCCGCTCACTGGCTGAGCGAGGCGCGGGGGCAACACCGAGGGTTGCGATCCCGTTGCCGGTCCCTGGTCCGGTACGGGGGCAACACTGAGGGTTGCGATCCGTTGCCGGACATGGAAAAAGACAAAAAAAAAAAAAAAAAAAATTAATCAAGCAGATTGTAAGGCCCTGGTTACAGTGGAGCCAGCCAATTACGAGTTGCTCAGAAATTCATCATTGGCATGTCCAACCACATTTTCCCACATAAAGATTAGTAGAAATATGTGGAAACAGGGCTCATTCCCATCCCGGCACAGCTACAATATGTGTTCAGTGAAACAAATTTCAACAAAGTTTTCCCTTAGTAAAACAAACAATTTATTTGGCAATCTTTTTTATCCCTATCTTTACCCATAACACCTTCTTCTGCCAACACTGCAAAGACTGCCCTACTTATTAAAACCCAACTAGGAACTTTTATATTCAAACACACTTCTGAATTCAGAGCACTAAAGCTACATGCCACAAGCCTTAATTCATCAGTAAGTTAGTGAAATCCCCAAAGACCATCTTTAAGTCTTTTCACTGTTGTGATAACACTCTCCCAAACCTTACTAAGAAGAAAGTTTTCTTGCAAGAGAGAAAAGAAAGGGGCCAGAGTAGATGATTGTTTCTCTACGGAGAAGGCAGTGCTGATCTTAAATAAAGACGCTCCTTTCAGATAAGCAGAATCAGATTCCAGTTCAGTTGGTTTGCTGGCTACCCTTACTTTGAACTTTCATATTTAACCCAGCAGGCTTCAAAGCAGGTGAGAAAATGACCTACCACTTAAAAGCAATTTTTCCTTTTTCAGGAATTCTGGCCTTGGAGAATATCAGCTCTGATATCAGCACATTCCACATCTCCAGGGATTTATGCAACTTTTTTTCATTGTTCTATGTCTAATGTCAGACTAGGTTTTCATCTCAGCTGGAGAAAAATGAGAGGGAAAAAATTTCTAACTTGCTGAAAATGAAATCTTATTCCATATAGCCTCATACCATGCAGAAGAAGAGGCACTAAAACCACTAAATTATTCTAGTTCATTCCCTTCCATTAACCAAAATCTGATGTACAGTGAAAATTATTAAAAATCATTAATCCCCATTAAGCCAGTGCCTGGCTTCACAAAAAAGTGATTTTTGTAACAAACACATTTTTAAAATTCAAATTGAGTTTGCTGTAGCATGTGAGCCAATACAAAAAGATATGAGATGAGGAAGAGACAATGATAACAATGAGGAAATTTTCTTAAATTGCTTTGCCTTACTAAATAGAAGAGCAAGTATGTTTCAAAGATTCCTCATCAATTTCTACCTTATTTAGCCATCAAATATCTGACTTAATCAAAAATCCTAACATAGGCAGTTTGCAACTTATCAACAGCTCTGTTCTTTAAAGCAGTTTGCCAGTGCCTGGAACTTGAAACATTTCTCCACCTTCTGTGGTTCACATATGCATAACGTACCAGAAGTATAGTACTAACAGTATTGTTTAAATGACACCCAACCACCACTTATACTAAAATTTTTATGGGAAAATGCATTCTGAGCCTCCTGTTAAGACATCTCTTCTCCAAATGTGAAGGGGGTAGAGTTTCCCACTATAGCCATACTTTGGAGATGATGATGACAATAACAGCAGAAATAATAGCTAATATTCACCTTGTTTTTACTGTGGGCAGATACAGTTCCACACACTTGATATATTGTAAACTCACTTAACCCTCATCAAAACATATGAGGTAGTACTATTCTCATTTTACAATTAAGGGTAGAAAAGGTTAAATAACTTACCTGAGATTGCAGAGCCAATAACTGTCCGGGCTTGGATTCAAAGCTAAGCAGTCTGCCTCCAGAGTCTATGCTCATAGCACTGCAATGCTGTCTCTTCTCCACCTTAATAAGGTGGTACTATTCAGGTGTTCTAAATTCCTCATATTGGGGAAACAGCAGAGCTTCTCAAGCTTTAAATGTGCATATAGGATCACCTGGGGATCTTGTTAAAATGCAGATTCTGATTCAGGAGGTCTGGAGTGATGCCTGAGGTTCTACGTTTTCAACAAGCTCCTGGGTGACTATGGTGCTCCTAAAGCATAGATCACACTTTATGAAGTGGTGAAGAAGTAGAATTTGAGCCTCTAGTGCCTTTTCTGTTTGTCTGCTTGTCGAGGCATTATACGTTGTGTTTATAAGTTAGAGACTGCCCATACTGTAATCATTTTTCATTAACTCTTAATGGAACCTACCTTTGGAACTGCTCACATCAAATACTTAGCTTCTAGAAGTTTAAAATGTACATGTAAAGGTCACAAGGATAAAACGTGGCTATAACAGTTCACTGTCAGGCACATTTTTAACACTATATACCACCAACTATACAGATACCAAAAGGTAGTGAATAAAAGCTTGTTTATTGTTCATCAGCTAGAAATACAATATACCAATAACGTTTGGTCTAAAAAGACACTTCCACTTAAAAATAAGTAATTATTCATTCTCAGAGTCTGCTAGAGGAGTGCTGAGGAACTAATGCTATGTAATCTTAAAGGCTCTTCTGGTGCCATTACTGATCTCTTGGGTAAAGGCAGACACAATATACTAACATTGATGGATAGAGCATACAGTGAGAACACTCTACATTAATTTTAGCCAGTACTTCATGGAAACATACTAATAACAGTTGTTACACATCTACGCCAGATTCTAGATTTTCCTCCTTCCTACCCTACTGCCCTGAGAAAAACCCAAAAATCATCTCTCCCATTGCTTGCCTGTGATCTCAAATACACAGTTGCACTCTTTTCCCCCAGCCGTTAAACGGATGGGTTTCCCTTTCTAGTCCATGTTTTCTTTTCCATGCCAGATTACAAAGCAAGATCATTTCAGTTTAGGATGCACTCATTCACCTATCAGCACCATTGCAAACAATAGTTATGGTATGATCACTAAGCTTCCTTTTTACACTAAAAAAAAAAAAAAAAAAAAAAAAAAAAGAATAGTCTGTTTCCAACCCAAATATCTATACTTCCTGAACAACAGTGGAAAGTCATTCTTCTTGAAGCTTAACCCAGAATCAAGTGCAGACTCACACTCCTAGGCCTCCAGACAGTTGCAGCTTAACACATTATACAGTTGACTTTCAGGGAAGAAGGGAAACCAGTACTCTTACCACGGATGCCAGAAGAAAGCCAACTAATCTTTAAGGCACCAAATAAACTATTGTTAAGGCAGGAAAAGAAATTGTGAGGAAATATGGAGCTAAAATGGAGGCATATAAAGAAAAATACAGAAAATACACTATCAAGTAAGGACTAGTTTTTCTATGGTTGTCAGGACTTTTATATTTGGGAATATAATAAATCAGCATTTTCTTTTTGGGTTTTAACTCTTATTATCTGGTAAAAATGCAAAGATGTACAAGAGAGGTGCATTTTTTTAAATGCTTGGAAACTTAAAGGGAATTATCTTTGGTAATTTTACTTTCAGCCAGTAACATTAATTAATAAGTTTACATAGAAGAGTAAATAGTCATGGGATACCTTCTCTAATGTCAGTCCTCAGGTACTTCCTAGATCAGGAAATGGGGAAGCAGTTCAAAACTAAAGGGTAAAAAAGAAAATAAAGGTCTATACATGGTTTTATACCCAAGATTGGGGAAGATCAATAAGAATATGCAGACACAATTGGGAGAATCTTTGAGTACAGAGGCACATTCTGTACCCAGGGCAAATGTCCCATCTGTCCTATCTTACTTACTTATTCTCCATCTTAGTTGCATTCTTGAATTTAAAATTCAGTAAATTGTTAGAACTAATGATTTCATTTAAATAAAATCAAAAGTCTTGTTTACAAAATGGGGAATTTTTTTAAATGCCAAAGAAAATGCATTAATGATAAAAAATAGCTGGATTATTCTTTAGCTAGTAACAAGAGCTATGTTTATCACCAAAAGTGATCTACAAGGAACAACTTTATAATGTTATAGCATTGTATTCTTTAAACTTTTAAGCAACAGAAGTATAGCTCAAATTGCCAAAGACTTGGGTTTGACATATTTATGACAGCAACTTTACAAATCAACTCCTGCAATTTACTATAACAAATATCTCCCACAGCTCAACTGGGTTAATACAAACAGATCAGAGAGAGTTTCTTGTGTGTTTTACAAATACTCTACACAAGTCCTTGAGATCACACTTACAGCTTTAGCAAAAACACCCATGATTTCAGGAAACTGGTGTGTGAGAAGGGCTATCATTGCTGTAGAAGAACACAGTCCTGCTGTGAAATGAATGAAAAAAGGAAGCTCCTTCTTTGGGTAAACAGAAACATGATGAAAGGCTGCAAGGGACAGAAAGTAGAAATGAATTTTATTTCAGAATACAGTGTAAACCAATCTTAATATTTTCAAATGAAATCTATTTTTATAAACTAAAAAGAAGCTGGCCAGTTAGCTCAGTTGGTTAAGAGTGTGATGTTGATAACATGAAGGCCCAGGGTTCAATCCCTGTACTGGACAGAAAAAAAAAAACAAAACTAAAAAGTAAAATGTTTTTTTTAAAAAAAAGAATAAAAAGACTCTGGCCAAGCAAGGTAGAAGAAACTTATCCATTATTTACTCCAGCATCAACAACCTATCTACACACTCAGATGATTGTGCTAGGGTCTGAAAATAGGATGGCACTATGGGAGAGAACACTAACTATAAATTCATGCTGAGGTGGTTTTGAAAAAGAGCTTTGTCCCTTAATAGTTTGTGATCTTGAGTAAGTTGATAAACCCTATAAAAGTTGCTATGGAGTTGTTATGATGAACACTGTAAGTGCTTAATAAATGTGAGTTGTTATTAATTCTTGTACTTTGGGAGATCTGAGACTAGTATAAGGAGACAGACATGTTATTAGAGATTTCCCAGAACCATCAGTAAATAATTTTACCCAATTATTAATGTGTTCTATATGTGGCATTTCATTGAGCACCGTAAAAATTGAACTAGAAAACCAAAACCCTAGGTTTCTGGTCATAAATGAAGTCCTTTGTATTACTTTACCATATTTACACATTTACTCAGGTATTATTTTTCTAGTGATTGAGTTATATTATTATCAATTGTATTCAAGTATTTATATTTTATTTGAAATTTAAAAATACTTGAGTAACAATACTGAGATGAGCCTATGACCATGCCTGACAGGCAGTACATAGATGCTCAATAAATGTGCTATTCTGGGACTTCATTAGTCCAGGAAGTTGACTGCTCAGGGCTGGACACTAAACCAGGAATTCCTGATGTAATATCCTGCACTGGTAAGGGATGACTAACTTAGTGCTGAGCCAAGGCCAGCTATAAATTTCACTTTTTAAAACAGTGATTCACAGAAAAGATTATACCTAGGCTTCATTCAATAGCTATGATATTTTATGTCTTATACTATATTCAAAAAGTATATACCAAAAACCAAACTCATTAAAAATCTAGAAAATTTCTAGAGCCTTGAGCCATGTTTAAAATAAAAGCTCAGTTGGTTAGAGCACAGTGCTATAACACCAAGGTCAAGGGTTTGGATCCCCATACCAGCCAGCTGCAAAAATAAATAAATAAATAAAAATAAAAATGATGTAAAAGCACACCAGAACTAAATTTCTTAAAAGTTAAAAATATTAGAAACTATAGAGAACACTGTGCTTTCAGCGCCCCCAAATCCAGCAGTCCCTTTTACCCTGTCCCTCAGCCATGAGAAGCCAACTACTTCTTCCTGACTTCAAACCAGGAGAAACAAATCCTGGTATTTGAGAAGACAAGGAATACATATAAGACAGCAAAATTAATAATATCAGCTAAACTGTATAGCATTTTATGTTTTATAAAGTGCTTTAATGTATATTAGCTCATTTGATTTTTTTCAATAACCTTAAGAGATACATAGTATTATTCCCACTTTGTAAGGTAGAAATTGCATAGCTTTAGTAAGAAAATTTCCTAAAATATAAGATTTTTATACTGTAGGAGAGACCTAATTATTTCATTTTGGATTACTTTCTGTAGTTTCATTTGTCAGTCGATGTTTGGCTAATACATCAATATAATGTATGACTGACTAGTACAGAAACACTCCCTTGGAACAAAAGTTCAAATTTCATCACTGGCTTGTAGAGAAAAATTTATCACGAGGCATAAAAGACAGCTAAATAGCTATGTGAACTAAGGGAATAGTTCAAGTCTGAACTTATGAGGTCCATAAGCAAATTCCAGAATGCTGTAAGTCATATCAAGGTTGAAGGAGAATTAAAAACAAAAATCATTAAATACTCCTGGATATTAGAACACCACATTATTAAAAAAAAAATTGTTCATTCTACCATAGTCAGAGACAGAAAAAATACTCTAAGAACATACAATAGAACCAACACCTCCCCTGCCCAGCATAGCAATCCTTCCCTATCTCCTCGAGTTTTCACTCTATATAGAGTTAGAATTAATAAAGCAAAAAAGCAAATTGTTTGCCAAAAAGCAAACTGTTTGGTCTTGTAGCTATGCTCTGACAACATAATAATAATAATCCTGATTTTATTCATATTACTATGTAAAATTGGCCTTATATTAGATAACCTTTGTAATGACTAATAAAGAGGGGCATTGTTTTAGGCTAAATATATTAGCCTAATATAATATACTCTGGCATATCAATGTTCCATAATTAAAGATCCATTCCTTTGCCTTAAATATCCTTGTTCCTGTTAACATGGAAAAACAACAAGAAAAACTACCACCACCACCCTAGGAAGAAAAATAAAATTTCTTCCATTAATGATCTCCTAATTGCCAGAGTCAAAGGATTCTTCTCAGTAATTACCTTACCTAATATCACAGATACTCCTTGTCACTTGGAAATTTATTCTTCCATTTAGCTTCTAGGATATTTAGTTCTGGTTCTTATTCTCTCTGACCACTTCTTCACTGAATATTCAACATTTTTCCTGCCATTTGTTCCTTAGACATTTTTGTGGCCCCATGGTTCCATCCTTAGTTCACTTCTTATTCTACACAGTTTCCCTTAGTGATCTCATTCATGCCTACGACTTCCTTTGCTACCCCAAGTCTGATTTGTGAGATGGAGAGAGAGAGAGATATCAGGACTCCAGGCAATTTTGTTTACATAACTTGATCCTGTCCCTAGGCCACAGCTAACTGGATCAGGAATGAACACCTGGATAAATCTGATTCTCTCTCCCGGAAGTTTCAGAATTGGGATTGAAATATTATTCATTCTGTATGGTTTGCCTGAACTGATGACAGGTAAACACAGAACAGGAGGAGCATCAACTTAGGCCACATGAGTGTCTATGAAGGGAAAGCCAAACTGCAAAGAAAAGGGTGTAAGAATGAAACAGATACACAGAAAGAAGCAGAAATGAGATCATACAAAGAAATGAGAGGGCTGGGGAAGGAGAAAAAGAAAGTGAGAACAGGAGAGACTTAAAAAGGCAGCCAGAGGCAGATATACAGATAACTGACTCCTCGAAATCCTAATTCTAGTTTCTGATTCTATTTCCTTAAGAGGTCCAATTGTAATTGTTGCCACAGTGTTCTTCCAACAAATTCCCATTTATGTTTAAGCTATTCTGAAGTAGCTCTCTATTACTTATACCCAAAGTATGCCTACAACATTTGCTATTTATTATATTATTTAAAGATGCAAAATATAAAGACTTTTCTGTATACATATGAAATAGATTATATAATAACACAGGTCAATAACCTTGAGACCTCAATCAGAGAAACCAGTTCAGCTATGCCCAGATTTTAGACCTATGGAAACAGAGAGATCATAAATGGGTATTCAAGCCCCCCAAAAAGATTTTGTGTGTATGTGTATATATATATATATACACACACAAATACACACACACACACACACACACGTATACATAAAAAAGATTTATATATATATACACACACACATACATACATGTATGTGGTGTATATATGGATAAGATGTTACACAAGCAACACAGTCAAAGCCTGAACTTATTTACTTCCCCCACCCCTATTCCCAAACCTGCTCTTCCTGCTGTATGATAGATTTACTATTGTCCTAGTCACTCAAGTAAGAAAACTGAGAATCATCCTTAACCTCCTGGAGAGATTGACCCTACCCCCTCGAGCTTCCTTATAATCCATTCCATATGTATAGCACTTAACAAATTGTCTATCAGTCTTTCTATTAACCTGTGAGCAGCCTAGGAGTTCAGAATAGGGTAAGGAGGAAAAGGTACTAATATTTAACATTTTGTTGAGTATCTAAAATGTGCCAGGTACGTTTATAAGAATAAATTAATGAATTTGACTAATTCAAATAATATTTATTGAATATCAATTTTTATGGCAAACATTATAGAGATACAGGGACAATAAAGAGAATCCTGGCCTTCAAAGGGTTTACAACCTAAAAGGAGAGATCAAGAAGGACGTAGAGCCCTCTAAGTTCAAAGAAGAGATTATTTATCTCAGTGGATGGAGGAAAACAAAAAACCCTGGGAGAAAAATACCAGCATATTCAACTTGACATAATCTCTTCCTCCTCAATTTTCATCTATCTGTTTGAACTTTTCAGTTTATTAAAGTTTTATGGTTGTAAAACTGCAACTTTCTTTCCTAGACTTCAGTTCTAATGGGTCGTATTGTGAAAACTGTGGCACAGGTTTACATCATATAAGGAAACATGGTGCTACTGTTTCTACCCCTTCAGCATGCTTACTTATCAGTTAAGTCACAAAAAGAAAAAAAGAGAAATACACCAGTTCACAAAGAAAAAGAGTGAGTGGAAAATAAGGCAGCTGAGACACAAAGTGTAGACTATTCTTTTGAGAAGTTTTGCTTCCTGAAGGCAGGGACTGACTGAAACACTCTCAGTAATCATAATCCTACGTATTTGTGGTTCTCCTCCAAACTCTTTGCTCTTTTTCAAATCAGGAAGTGTATCCCCTCCAACTTTGTTCTTCTTTGCAAAGATTGTTTTGACTGTTCTGGGTCCTTTACCTTTCCACATAAATTTTAGGAGCAGCTTGTCATTTTTTGTAAAATCACTCATGGGATTTTGATTGAGATTGTATTGAATCTACAGATCAATTTGGGGAGAATTGCCAACCAAATAATACTGGGTCTTCCAATTCACCAACATGGAATGTCTCTCCATTTACTTAGATATTTTGTAATTTCTCTCGGCAGTATTTTATAGTGTTTAGTGTACAAGTCTTGCACTTGTTTTGTTAAAATAATCCCTAAGTAGTTTCTTCTTTTTCGTGCTACTGTGATTAGAATTGTTTTGTAAATTTCAGTTGTGTATTATTCATTGCAAGGTATATAGAGATACTTCATACATTGATCTTATATCCTACAACCTTGCTGAACTTGTTTATTAGTTCTAATAGTATTTTTATGGATTTCTTAGGATTTTCTACATAGAGGAGTATGTCGTTTATGAATAAAGACAGTTTGACTTCTTCCTTTCCAATATAAATGCCTTTCTTTCATTTTTCTTGCCTGACTACCCTGGCTAAAACCTCTAATACAATGTCTGTTTGTTTGGTTTTGGCAGCTGGCTGGTACAATCTAGTACAATGTTAAATAGAAGTGGTGAGAACAAACATCCTTGCCTTATTCCTGATCTTAGGGGCAAAGCATTCAGTCTTTCACCATTAAGTACGATGTTAACTGTGGGTTTTTAGTAGATGTTCTGTATCAGGCTGAGGATGTTCTCTTCTATTTGTAGTTTGTTGAGAGTTTTTGTCATGTATACATGTTGGATTTTGTCAATGCTTTTTCTGCATTTATTGTCCTTTATTCCATTAACATGGTGCATTACATTTTTGGATGTTAAATCAACCTTGCATTTGTGAAGTAAATCCCACTTGGTCATGGTATGTATGGTATATAATCCTTTTTATATGTTGCTGGATTCAGTTTGCTAATATTTTGCTGAAAATGTCTGTGTCTATACTCATGAGGACCACTGTTCTATAGTTTTCTTCTCTTGTAATTTCTTTGGTTTTGGAATCAGGGTAATAATATTGGTCTCACTAAATGAGTTGGGGAGTAGTTCCTCTTCTACTATCTCAAAGAGTGCCAAGGATTGGTATTCTTTTCTAAATGTTTTTAAGATGACGGTTCTTTTATTACCTTTAATCTTGGTGTCCTTCATTGCATCTAGCATAGGGTATTGCTCCAATAAATATTTGAAAATAAATTGAATTACAAGTATGCAAATAAATACTAGAAATGGCTAAAAAAGTATATAAAGTATTTCCTGAATTTCAACCAAAGATACTTTTTAAATGGAGAATACTATGAAAAGCAATCTAACAATTACTTTTATGTTTAGAAAAACTGAAATATTTACTTACTAGGTAATAGCTCTCTATCAGCAGTCTCTGTGCAGCTGGGATAAGGGTAAAATAGATGTCCTTTCTCTAATGGATATGGAATCATTCTAAAAGCTGAGAAAAAAATACATATGTTGACATTCAATTCTGTCTCATTTACCTTTCTATACTACAAATCAAAGCTATTTTGGAGACATTTTTACAAAATTTTCACACAGTATTTTCTTTTTTTGAGAGACATTTAATGTGGAAGAAACAAAATAAACAAAAAAATGAATAAGGGGAAGAATAAGATTTATTTAAAGAATGGTCTAGTCTGGCTGGAAGAAAACTAAAGGAAGTGGTGGATGATAAAGACTGACTGGGTCCTTCTTTGCCTCAGTCTCCCCATGACAAACACAACTGACTTAACTCCACAAGTATGAATTCTGTTTCTTGCAGGAATAAAACTGCAATGTTGCATAATTGTTGTGGCCATAACTACATCCCAAGAATTGGATGTAACCCAAGAGAGTTACACAGCCTGTTGGCAACCTAAGAGTTCTCCATGGATCCTAGAGTTCACATGTGAGGTTCACCAAAGTTTTCTATGAGCAGAGTTTAATTTAGATCAGGGATCACCAAAGTATGGCCCTTTGGCCAGATCTGGCACACTATTTGTTTTTGTAGAGAAAATTTTATTGGAACACAGCTATGCCATTCATTTACATATTGTCTAAGGCTGCTTTCATGCTACAAGAATTGAGTAGTTGTGACAAAGACCGTATTGCCTGCAAAGCCTAAAATATTTCGTATCTGGCCCTTTACAGAAAACGTTTGCCCACCCCTGATCTAGATTATCATTATGTCTTGCATATTTATTTTTTAAAAATTCTTATTGATCTACTTCACTAGCTAAGTACTCATCAAAACTGTAATAAGATTTTTGTTTATCCTTAAAGGAAAAGTGGCTCTAACCACTTGATAAACTTTTGTCATAACAGAGATTTTATTTTGCCACAATAAAAAAGTAGTTATTTGGCCAAACTAATAGAATACAGCAAATCAGTAATAACTTTAGGAAATCATTCACTAAGATTCATGATATACACTATGAATCATACACAAATTGAAAACCTCCTATGTGCCCAGCAGAATGCCAGTCAGTAAAGATGCATATAAGAGGAATGAGATAGAGTGCCTGGTTTTGAGTATATTATAGACTACTGAAGAAAAAGTGAAAATCTAATTACTCAAAGACATTCAGCTCCTCAAGTACATAATCCCAGTTTTATTAATCTTATATTGTCAGTGTCAAGCACAGTGTCTGATCCAAAGCAAATGGTTAATGCAGAGGCTCCCAAATTTTCTTGGTTCAAAGACACATGTTACGCTTCATGTCTCAGTAATTTTTATGGTGCCCTAGGCTGAAAGAAATATCTAACAATTTCACTTAAGTAGTGGATCCAAACAACTTTACAAGTTTATGTTCTAACAACTTAGTAGCAATTTGAAAAAAAAACACATAAATTGAAAGAAAAAATAATTTTCTTATTTCCTTTAAAAATAACCATCATTTCTTACTAATGGGATGTATACATGAGCCTGTTGGACACACAACTTCTCAAACCCTGAAATCAGATTGGACACCACCGTCCTCATTTTCTGTTCCACCATGATTTTTGTATGGTACTTCTTTTAATCACAGCAACTAACAAAAACCCAGTTTTGTGAAGATATGATAACATCAAAAGGAATAGAGAGCAACCTAATGTTGAAACTGTGAACTATATGGAGCTAATGGAGTGGTATCAGACAGATGTTGAGCACTGTTGTGTTTCCATTGAAAATTTAAAATATTAGAGCAAATAGAAGAACAGTAGTTTTGGATTTAAATTGTGTGTGTGTTTTATATTTTAAAGAAATTTCATAAAGTTCTTCCTTTGTGATGTTTAGAAGCATTGAATCATCTCAGCACATAGAAATTAATTATACTGGAGAATTATGTGTTGCTACAGAAACAGACAACATACAGGTAACTAGTTTTCTTAGGGCAATGTTAATTTCATATAATTTTATTATTTTCAGTAAATCCCATTCGTGAAATAAAAAATAGAAAAAAAGAAAACTTAAAATATTCCACAGCACTCTTGTGAATTGCTGCAACATCCCAAAGTGCCTCAGTGCAAAGTCTGGGAACTGAGGGGATTAACAAATTTTAGTGAAGGAGCATTGAATTTCTTTTTGAATGTTTATTGATAGTTGTGGTGTTCTTTGCAAGAGAATTGTTATACAAATCCAACTGACAGAATATTTTGATTAGGCCTCTTCACTTTCCTGCTGGTTATAAGAAGTTACTAATAAGAAATCTGGTAATTAGTTACAAACAGGACCATTTTATTTATTCTCCAAAAAGGATATACAAATGGCCAATAAACACATGAAAAGATGCTCAACATCACTAATCATTACAGAAATGCAAATCAAAACCACAATGAGATTCCATTTCATACCTATTAATTAGGACAGCTATTATCAGGAAAAAATAATAATAACAAGTGTTAGCGAGGATATGGAGAAATTCTAATTGCATTGCGGATGGGAATGTAAAACGGTGCAACTGCTACGGAAAACAATATTGTGGTTCCTCAAAAAATTAAACATAAAAGTTTATCATCCAGAATTCCACTTCTGGTTATATATCCAAAAGAACTGAAAGCAGAAACTCAAACAAATATTTGTACACCAATGTTCACAGAAGCATTATTCGTAATAGCCAAAAGGTGGAAACAACCCAAGTGTCCATCACTAGACGAATGGATTACAAAAGGTGGGATATACTTAAAATGGAATGTTATTCAGCCTTGAAAAGGAAGGAAATTCTGACACATGCTACAGCATGGATGAACCTTAAAGATATTATGCTAAATGAAATAAGCCAGACACAAAAGGACAAATATTGTATGAGCTATCTACAGTAGTCAAACTCATAGAGACAAAAAGCAGAATGGTGGCTGCCAAGGGCTAGAGGAAGGTAAGAATGGTGAGTTATTATTTAATGGGTACAGATTTTCAGTTTGGGATGATGAAAAAGTTCTGGAGATGGATGGTGATGATGGTTGCAAAACATTGTGAATGTATACAATGCCACTGAACTGTATACTTTAAAATGTTTAAAATGGTAAATTTTACGTTATGTATCCTTTACCACAATAAAAGAAAGAATAGAGTTGGTATTAGATGTGAGGAAAATAATTTCTTGTTATATACATCTGAAAACAAAATAAAACCAGACCAGTTTTTAAAATATTAGAATAGTTCTACAACATTAAAAAGCCTATAAGCCAAAGGGTATAAGTTTTCATTTTCTTTCCTTACAAATATGTAACTTAAATGAACATATGGCAGAATACCATAAAAGTTTCTCATTTTGCTTTTCCTAAATGTGGTATCGATATAAATACAGTAAGCATTTCTTATACCAATAAACCAAATATAATGCCACTGAATTCACTTGAAACCAATCTGAACAAGAAATTCTTACAGCAAATTCAGACAATCTCATTAAAAAAGACTGCCCGTGAATGCAATGAATAGTCAGAGAGATTAGTGTTATATCTGGAAAAGAGTACTTACTTCCTTCCCATGTACACTGTAACAGATTAAGAGCACCTTCTATTCGCTTCCAGTGCTGAAGATGAAAGAAAGCATAGGCAATTGCTTCACTATCACCCCGTTTCAGAATGTGTTCTGGAGGTAAAATTAAACTTTTCATCTCTAGTAAATACTGGAAGAATAATACACACACATACACACAGAACACAAAAAAGAAAAATTAAATCATGTTGAATTCAAACACCCACAAAAATGTAGATTCAACAAATTATAAGGTCAAATTGACTTATAAAAAAAATTAAACTAGTTGAAATGACATGAAAGTCCTACAGATAACATGTGTACAAAATAGTTATATATGCAAATTCCAAAAATCAGAATACTCCTATAGGTAAAAATAAGGTGATAAATGGCTTATGTGTGACCTTGCTAAATACAAATTAGAAACTCAAGCTGGGGAAATAATGAGAGCAAACATCTATTTTTCCAAAAAGGAATTAAATGTAAAAACTATAAAACACAATTTCGGAAGAACTGTTTGTGGCAACATTCAATTCTTTTTTCTCTTAATTCCATTTTACAGGTGAAAAAACTTAATTGTGGAAAGTTCAATTAAACAAATATTTACTGGGTGCAAAGCACTACGGTTGTTGGGGAATATCAAAAAACACCCTACCTGTTCTCTGGAGCTTCATAAAAATGGGAAAGGCAGATTGCTTAAGTAAATAATTATAACCAGACTGTAGTGAGTGCTTTATTAGAGCACTCTAATACTAAACAATGTATAAAGAAATATGGATAGAAGGTATTAATTTTTTTAGTTTTTTTTAATAAAAGCTTTATTGAGACATAATTCACATCCCCCAGAATTCACCAATTTAAAGTGTTCAATTCATTGATTTTTATTATATTCGTGGACCATCACAACAGTCAATTTTAGAACATTTACATCACCTCAAAAGGAAGTCCTGTCCCTTTTAGTTATCACCCTCTACTCCCCAATTCTCCCATTCCCCCTAAGCAACCACTAACTTATTTTCTGTCTTTATAGATGTCTATTCTGGACATTTCATACTAACAGAATCATATAATACGAATCTGTGGTCTTTTGTGACAGGGTTCTTTAGCATGATGTTGCAAGATTCATCCAGATTGTAGCATACATTGGTACCTCATTCCTTTTTGTGGCCAAATAATATTTCATTGTATGGATATACCACATTTTGCTTATCCATTCATCATTTGACAGACATTTGGTTGTTTTCACCTTTTGGCTATCATGAGTAATGCTGTTGTAAACATTCACTTACAAGTTTTGGTGTGAACGTACATTTTCATTTCTCTTGGGTAAACAACTTGGAGTAGAATTGCTGGGTTACATGTTAACTCTATGTTTAGGAGGTATTATGATTTAGGGGGAAGAAATAAACCACTTGATGGGATGAGCTGATATTTAAAGGTGGATAGAATGTGAATGAGCAGACTGGGGGTGGGGTGGGGAGAAAAATGGGAGGACATATCCAAAGCACAGAGCCATCTTGAACAGAGACACTGAACCGAGGGAGCATAGTGCAAGGTGCATTATGGCAGTGAATGTGCCTGTTAAAAAAGTTATAGTCTATCAATTCTTCTTCACATATGAAACTAAATTCTATCTTAAAGTCTTGAAGAAAATACTTGTCCTAATATTTAATCCATAACAAAAGCAGTATAATCACATTTATTTCACTAATCCAATGTACTAATTACATAAAAGCGATCAACTTAAAACAAAACCTTTAAAGAAATATTTAAATGCTCATACCTCCTCTGAAGACTGAGGTCAGAATGTGCTTTCCTTTCTAAAATTGGTCTGAAATAACTTCTTTGGTTCTAAATAATTTAATACCAAATTATAAGTCATAAGTCCAAACCACATTAACTTCTGTTATAAGATACAAAAAGAGAAACAGTGCAGAGGTGTCTCAACAAATATATTCTCACATTTCAAATTCTGGTTCCCCAGGCTGTTATATAAACTAATGGGATAACATAAATAAAAGAGTTAAATTTGTGAAACACTTTGTAAAACTGCTACAAACAATAAAACTCCAGGAAGAATCTTAAAAAACAAAAAGTTGTAGTGGTTTCAAAATTTAAGCCTTAGATTATTAATCAATATGTATATATTCATCATATTAATACATCTAAAATAATTTTTTCTTTGTTTATGAAATGTGCCTTTCAAACAATTACTGAGATTAATGCCCATCTTTAATTACTCTTACTCTTAATGTCACTGGCTCTGTCTTCAAAGTGTAAGAATGCAGTCTGCTCATCGATTTATTTTAGCAGATGTCACAAACTATGAGATTATTTACTAATCCAGTTTGGGGACTTAACATTTCCCATTCAGTTTCATAAAGGAATGCAGGAGAGGTTGTGTCCTGGTCAAGCAAAGCCCATTTGCTGCCTGGTTGGGTTTTCTCCCCTTAGTGCCTTGGGCCTATATTCAGGAGGGTAATATTCTTTCTAATCCTCTCTAATCCTTGCCCATTTTTTTAAAACACAGTAAAAGATCACTCGCACCAGGCGGCTGTGGGAAAATGGACTCAAATAGCTGACCTCTGACATGACTCCTTATGCTCTTTGCAAGTGCACTAAGAGCTTCTTCAGTAGGAAGCAAAGAAAATGTGGCAATCGCAGTAGAACTTCTATCATAAAAAGAGTATCTAGTTTTCCGAAGAAAACTGTTTAATTCTTAAACCAGGTCCTTTCTATTAAAATTGTTTCCTTTTACAAATAGAAGAGACAAAATAACCCTAATCATTTTCAATGAGTTTTAGAACCCAGAAGCTTTAAACTAAACCCCAACATGGTATTTGGTATATTGGTAACCACTTAGCAAATGTAAACAAAAATATTCAGTTAACAATTATTTAGTAAAACTTATAGAAAATATCAATTTGATATGTCAAGAAAATGCTATTTTTAAAAAGTTTTTATTGAATTAAAATTGATTATACAAATTTTGGGGGTTCAACATTGAGATATGTTGATCAAATCAATATTACTAGTATATATATTACTATAAATTGTAATTATTATTTATGCACCTTGTCCAATCCCTCCTGATCCCCCTTTTTCTCCCCCATCCCCCCTCTAATTACCCTAGATTTCTTTTCACTCTCTGAAAGAATAATGGTTACTCTGTTGATTTGCTACCCAAATGATCTGTCCAATGCTAAGAGGTGTGATCAGGCCCCCCAATACTATCATAGAGCAGATGTCTCTTCCATCACTCTGAAATGGGCTCTGTGGAAGGACACATCTTCCTCCTTTCTTTATCTCTGCTGGTGACTCTCCTTGTGTTAATGCACTCCAGTGACTGGCAGACCATCTGCATGGTTGTTGTTGTGTCTAGCTGCCTTTGCAGCAGCCATGGTTATCATGTGGCTGTGGTGGGCCACCCTCATGGAGATGTTTCTGGCATGCTCCTTAGTGCTGGCAGTGTGCCTGGTTGTGGAGCGTGTCCGATCCCCAGGTCCATACCCCAGGTCCCTGAGTGGGTCCCGAGAGCTGGCATGGTGTGCCTGGTTGTGGGAGGGGGGCCTGGTCCCCGGGCTCCATACCCCAGGTCCCCGGGCAGGCTCCAAGGTGCTGGCACGGGGAAGAAAATGCTATTTTGAATGGCAACTATATGCCTCAATTTTCACTGTTTAGTAATCTAAGTGACAATTCAGTAGCAAATAAACACATATTAGGAAAATAATACTTTAGGATTTTATATTTAAAATCTTTGCTATTTAATCATTTTTAGAAATCTTCCTTATACTACCTTATTTTTTATCATGTCCTGCCTACCAGCAAATGTCCCTCCCATCATGACTTTAAAGCAAAGCAATTTTTCAGTTTGTAATTAGACACTAAGATAAAATCTGACCCCCAAAATATAAGATAAATTTTCAACTTAAGAAAAATATACTTAAAATAAAAGTTACAGGATTATTACTTATTTTATCTCCTTCACAAACTGCTACTCAGGAATTTCTAATACCCAGCACAGACTTAAGTTACTGCACAACAGAAACTATATCCTTCATTTTCTACTACAGTACTAGCACATTACACTTCCCAAAGCAGGCACTAAAATACTTAATAACTCAGTTGATCTGATATATATATAGCTAAAATGTCTTCAAACTCATACCTATATTTCAGTTTTTACTTAAAGATATTTTCTAACTCTCTGGGCAAACTAAAACCAAACAAAAACAAAAGCAAAAAACCCTGCTACTCAGATTTAGCTTTTCTAAGAAGAATATAAAAGGTTAAAAACTGGAGGGTGATTTGTTTTGATCTTTTATTTTCTTCTTAGAAAAGTACATGCTCAATATATGGAAATGCAAATATAACAGAGCTATACAGTTGAAAACAATATATTACATGTTTGGAGAATAAAAGAATAAAGAAAATAAAGATAATCTGATTTATATTTGTCTGGACTTCTTTTTTATGCATAATATACTGACTATTTTTCTCAAAAATAGGATCAAACAATTACGCAACTCGCTTTCTACCTCATAATATATCTTGTACATCTCTTCCTGTCTTTATATAGATCTAACATTTTTAATTGTGTAGTATTCCATTAAAAGCTGAGTTATTTCATAATTTAAGAAATAAGGTCATGCTGGAATTGCACTACCATTCTTAAAAGTTAAAAAACGATATCATTAAGCAGAAGTTGAAAAAATAGTCAAGTAAAATGGCTTAAAAATTTCAAGAAATGATGGGTCTAAAACTTCACTTTCTTTAACCTAGACAGACTTTTAAAGCAACATAGTTCTAAACTAGTACAGGTCTATTTACCAATGTTTACTGAGTACCTGTTTTGTGCTAAATAAAGTATTGGACATAAAATTATGACTAAGACAACAGCCCTGCTCTTGTTCATGGGGAACTTAGTAGAGACATATAATCAGACCAAAAAAAAAAAAGATACGATTGAGGTACTGTAGAAAACAGAAGAGAGGGATATTATCTCTGCTTGGAAAAATTGGGAAAGACTCCTTTATAAAGGAGACAACAGATGAGCAGGGTCTTGGAAAATGAGTTGGAACTCGCCAGGTGGAGAAGAGATTGAGCTTATGTACAATGGTAATAAAATATGATGAGACATGACCAATCCAG